TCAATTGGAAAGAGTATGCTCAGACTAACATTTTGATACTAATGAGTCAATTTGAGCAGTTATGCGCCTCCATCAGTTTATTGATTTATATTCATATATGAAAAAAAATTATATTTTGTGTGTGTTTGAGAATAGATTTAACATTTGTATTTATTTTTTTTTCATGAAGTTTTAAGCGATAGAGCAATTTCAAAAGCAAAATAAATTATTATATAAATATGATTTTGTTAAATTCTGAATCGTCTTACAATAGTAAGAAGACTTTTCTATTGAAGAATAATTCACCAGATGAATTCATCATATTTTGATTGCTAATTGTTTGAAGAAATAACAAGAACAAATGATATAGTTTGAGAAAAACTGAATTCGTTATCTTTCGAAATGGTAAAGTTTCGAATTACTTAACAATGGTTAGATTATTTTTATCTGACTCTACATTGATTGTTTATTAATTCAACGAAGAGAAAGATCATCTTTCAGAACTTAATCGATAAATCGAACCATAAAAATGCAGTCATTTGCACTCGAAATATTTCCGCTAATATAGACGTCTTTTTTCAAACTTGCATATGAAATTCAAAAGCTTTATTAGAGAAATGCCATTAGAAGAGTCCATCAATTTTGTTTGACATAAGTGGCAGGAAGTCTTTTGATTCTTATAGATTAATGAAAAAATAGAAATTTCTCTCAACAACTATCTGTAAAGCTTAAAAACAAAATTTTTAAACTAACCAGCAATACATGAACAAGTTGAAAAAAGATTTTGTTGTGATGTCAATATTCTACAAACACCATACGTTCCACATTGTTGTTTTGTACATTGTGATGATGATATTTGAAACATTACAGATAACGAAGCATTTTGACATTCATTTATTGAACTAAAATCAACGAAAAAGAAAACAAAAGAATTTTCTTAAAGAAATAATTAATAAATATATTCAACTAACCCATTACAGGCATACTGTAATGTTAAATACCAAAGAGCCATTTCAGGATAAGGTATTGATCTGATTAATATAGAATTTTTTTCAATAATTATTTTATAATCATGTTCACATCTATTAAATAAAAGTGGTCGATATTTGGATATACATCCAACAACACTAACATTCACATTTGATGATACAAAAGGCTACAAAAAAAAATGTATAAAATAAAATCTTATGAAGGAAATTCTTCCACTGATAAATTGCTATTGAGTGGAAACTAATCGCATTATATAGATCCAAATGAACTATGAATATATTGAAAAGAGTTTGTGTTTTTAGCTTATTGGTGCGGAAACACTGTACTTTTACGATATATTTTTAATGAATGCCGTAGCCTTCTCCTCAAGAAAACTGTTTTTCGGATTCGAACTTGAAGCTTTGCATAGAGATAGGTCTTGTCGTTGTTCCTATCCTAAGATACAGCTATGATAATAACCATAGGCAATGGAATATTTTGTTTCTCTCGTACGCTCAACATTTTTATAAAGTCTTCAATGTAGAAGTTCAAAATGAGAGAGTTTTGTTTGAGCTTATGAAGCATGAATCTAAGATAGAATTTAGCTTTTTCATATCTTGTAGCTCTGCTGTCTATGCTTATTAAGTTCTAATTGGTAGTAGATAAAATGTCAACTGACCTTGTAACAGCATGTTATTTGTCAGAAAAAAAACAGACATTAAACAGAAAGAGATAATTCTCACGATAGTTATAGCTTATCTAAGCTTTTATATTTATCTTGACTTTAGCTTGGCCAAGCCTTCTGGCTTCATCGTCTATGGGTAATCGCGTGACTTTAACATCGCTCATACAAACCGACTGATTTTATGTTCTTATCTCAAGATAGAAGGAAATTAAAAGCCTTTAAACGTTTACAATAAATTACTCTCATTAAGGTCTGCTTCTTCAGAACTTTTCATTTCTAAATTTGAAAAGGGTGAAATGTGAGTAAAGAGAAAATGCACTAACTAATACACATCTGCATCCACATCCACATCGTAAAATTGCAATATATCCACAGTAATAAGCTAACGATGCAAACTCTTTCCAGTATACTCATAGCTCATTCGGGTTTATAAAATTCACATAGTGTTGATACAAAATCAATTTATCAATTGGAAGATTTCCTTCTTTAATACAAAAAATTCCATAAATCTTTTTACCGCAATTCGAGATTCAAAATCAAAATGTAATGTTCCACCAAGATTTCGATCATCAACAATAAATTCATAAGAATATATCGATGAATCTTTTCCATTTAATGTTATTGAACTAGTACTACCTCTATTTAATCGATCTGTTGCATATATTGGTACATATAAAAAATCATAATAATAATTAAACATTATTCGTCGTGTTGGATAAGATTGAATACAAAAATTATTTACAGATGATAAACATTCTAAAAAACAAAATAAAATAATTTGAAAAATTTTCTATACAAAAAGACTCATTCAAATATAATACCTGTTGAACGAATAATTATTTCACTATGAATAGGATTTGTTAAACATGATAAATTATAAACTGTTATTTGAAAATAAATCCATATAAATGCAGATAATTGATCAATTTCTATTGAACATGTTTTATTCTTACAAACTAAAAAAAAAAAGATTAAATATTTTATTTTCTATTTATTAAAATACTTATGTTAAAAATAAACCTGTTTTGTAATCATATAAAGAAAGATTCGGAAGTGAATTTGTTTTAATTAAAATTATTATATCACAATCATTGGACCATTCTGATAAAATTATAATTCGAGAATTTCCTATTAATGTATAATAACTAAATAAGAAAAACGAAAAATTAACTTTTTTATTCTACATAAAACAATGCTTAAATATTTACGATGCATAAATCGATGGTTTATTATAAGTTAATTCAATTTGAATTGGCTCATTAAGTATCAATGCTAAAGTTATTGGTACTACTTGATAATCCAACCAAGTTGATAAATAAAAATTACATCCCGTTTTAGCCATCTATAGAATATTTAATAATAAAAACAAAATAAAATAAAATTTTTTTATTGACATTTACTTTTGATTCAACAGTTGATGATAGTCGATCAATAAATGTCTAAATATAAAAGATTTTGAAAAACAACTACTCATTATAATAAGATTTTTTTTTTTTACCATAGCAAACCATGTTCCAATAGAAGGACTATTTATTTGAATTAATGGATTTATTAATGTTTGATTAAAGATTAACTTAAAAAGATTATGACGACTGGTTATATATGCTTGTGGAAATGATTCATTTCGTGGTGCTGTCAACGGATATGCACCAGATTGAAGATAACTAATTAAATAAACAAACAAAAAATTTTCAAATTTTTTTCTTTTTCTTTTAAACATACAAATGAATATTAGCAAACTGATTCGAACATTTTCCTTCAGTAGCAAATGTTAATGACCAATTAGCTACTTTTGTTGGACCATGAATATTAAATTTAAGAAATTTTGCATCTGAATAACCATCATATTCGAATATACGGATACGAGAATAATGTTGGCCAAAATCACGACCTAAAAAACAAAAGATCTGTTTACTCAAACGTTCAATTTCAATAGACAATGATTTCGTTAACAAAATTTCCAATGTCATTTTTCTTAGTGATAGTAAACAATAAAATCAATGCTGTCTGAATAAAAAGGACTACTCCTCGATATTGATGAATTTGACTTTTTATGCTTTTGCGAAATAAAAAAAACCAGTGTTGAAGTATATAGGTAAAAATTCGAACCTCTCCGACAGACGCTAGTTAATGGACATGTCAAGTTGGTTCTGAATCTGGTGGGATCCGGTCTGAAATATTAGATCCGACAGGCTCTACTAGTCAAAGACAATCGCAGAACTTATCTAAACAACGTCTCGTTCTAATATATGAACGATTTTTTTAATGCATCTCTGGAGGTTTACGTAAAAAGAGTGATTAGCAACAGTCGCTATATCATGTTCTTCATGTTAAACCTGCTAATAGTTTTTTTTTAAATAAAGGTTTAGCGTGCTAATCAAGTGATCTGAAAAGACTTTATAGAATTGAAAAAAATCGCTCAACTGAATACTAAAGTTGAAAGTTATGTAAGATTTCATTGATTATTAAAACGCATAGCATCATTCTTAATATCACATTTTCATATATAAATCAATTACATATACTCCAAATCTCGATTAATCAAACTTTGATTATATGTATCGAGAAAAATTTTCTACGACGTCAAGGACTTTAACAATCATGTACAAAAGTTTGATCAATCAATTATATAGATATATTATTAGATTTACTATAATTAAATTTAAATCTACAATAAAATGTACCCAAAGATTATCTCGGAAAATATATCACGAAATATGTCGGTCCCTATAGCAAAGTATAAGCTTATGAAATTAAATTTACATACCATTAAACGGACTGTTCTGTGCCGAACAACAACAAGCAAAAACAAAAACCAATGCAATAATCATTCTAAATCTCTCATTTTAATTTTTTTTCGTGCTTCTTTTTTAATTATAAATAAAGATCATATTATTCTTTATTTCGTATCAGCACCTTCTTATCTAAAATATATTTAATCATAGAATGGAAAAAAGAAAAAAGAAAAAAAAAGATCAAATGATAATGTTGACTGTTAGTCAGTAAAAACTTCTTAAGACATGCATATATATATCCAATAAAAGTTCGCTGGCGTATAAATTAACAGTTCAAGAAGAAAAAAAATTGACACGAAAAGCAAAAAAAAAAAAATCAAAAGAAAAAACAAAACCAAATGAAGGATAAGATAGAACTTAGGTAATATATATATATATATTTATATAATTTCTTTTTAGCAGTTTTGGACCAAAAACAAAAAAACACGAGTACAAACAATAAACATGAGAAATGAAAACAAAAGAAAAAGAGTGAGAGCAAGTAAAAGATTCTATTTATAATAAATAAATAAATAAAAACTGAATGAAAACAAATGAAAATAGATAGGTGATAAAAATTTCTATTTCAATGATTAAAATATATCATCACATCGTGACCAATCTTGTTTTTGTTTACATTCCCAATATTGATTGGTATATATATGCATTTCAGAATCTGTCAATGAATCATGTTGTTTTTTAAACCATTTAGCATCATAAGAATTATGTCCTGATGATTCACGAGTACGTCGTGCTTGTCGTTGTTTTTCTTCAACACGTAATTTTTCTTGATTAGCTTCATCCCAACGTCCTTCTTCCATTAAACGTTGATCAGGACGACGACGAGAATCTGTTGGTGCAACACCTGGTTCATCTTCATTTAATTCAATAGCAAGTTGAGTAAAATTATACATAGCTTCAAGATATGCTGGTGGCATTTTACGTTGCCATAATAATTTCATATTACGAGTTTCCATATGATGGGAATGTGAATGACGACCGGCTGTAGATTCAACAGGACCACCTTCAATTTTCTCAGTCCATGTACCTAAAGAAAAAAAAATAATAAAGATAATAAATTTATAAAAGAAAAATGATAAAATTTAATTTTACCAGTTAATACCCATTGTGCTTGACCAGTAGCATCAGTAACAACACCAGTTACTTTACGTGGAACATCTTTTGAAAAATAACTATAAGGAAAATATTTTAATTTACAAACATCTTTTGTTGTATGGTTTATTATATCCATTTCACCAACCTAAGCAAAGAAAAAAAAACCATATAGTAGATAAGTGACTCTATTTTTTGTTTTTCACTTACATTATCAATCCAAAGTTTGCCAACAATTATATTATTGACAAGAGTAGTTACTTTTTTCCATGTAAAATGATTACCCGTATTTTTAAATATTAAATGTGAGTAACCTATAAATTAGAAAATAAATATTTGAAAATTATTCGATAGGTTTTCTCTTTTGAGTAAAAAACAAAAACAAAAGTAAAATTCTCATTATTCAGAAATAGCCAACTTATTTGAAAAATCATTGATAACATATTTTTCAACTAAAGAATATAAATGTTAACTAAATCTAATTAAGATTTATTCTATATTAAAATCTAACTAATCAGAAAGTAATTCAATGCTCGGAATTATTCGTATATTCAGCAATTTTTTTTTTCTAGATTTTATTATTAAGTTCGATATTTATTTCAATGTTAAATACAATGGGATGTGCATCGATATTCAAGGAGTATGTAAAAAAATATTTACCTAATGGTGTTATACTTAAATATTGACCACGAAATTTCGATGTCATTGTAAATTCTTGATACAATGTCCATCCTTGACCTTCCGCATATGTTGATAAAGCTGGTGGATGATGACTAACTTGTTCTTAAATTTAAGAGAAAAAAACAAAAAAAACAAATTCTAAATTGTTTGAAAACTAAATTTTCCAAAAGTAAATCTTTACCAGCTATTGATTTCCAACCTAAATCATCTGTTCGATCACATTCATATGTTTCACCAAGTAATGGATTAAATGGTTTATTAACACGTGTTGATGTTGTTGAATAAGATGAAATAGTAAATGCAGCAACATAAGCTAATTGTTCCCAATTATTTGTTATTTTAGCTGCTGTATCAAGTACATAACTATATTCAAGTTCTTCTGTTATACGTTGTAACATTGATATTGGTTCACTAAAATTAACTGGTATTGGAATTTTTGATAAATCTTTGCCAACACAATTTTTCATTATACTCCATAAATTAATACTAAAAAATTTTTAATATCATATTTAATTTAATTAGAAAATTAATAAATGTATATATATAAACCTATAATTTGGTCGTTCAGGTATACGATCACGACGTTTACGTTTTGGTATAGCTACTTGTTGTTGTTGTTGTTGACCATTATTTAATTGTTTTTGTGCAGTTTGATTAGCATTTGTTTCTGCTATAGTTACTGCATTATTTGTTGTTTCTTCAGTTTTTGGTGCTAAAAAGAAAAATTTATATATAAATTTAAAATATTATTGCTTATCTTATTAGAAAAAAAAAATGACTAGATAGACACATACCTTTGACAATAACCATTGGTAGATTGTCTTCATCTTGTTCTTCTGATTCACTTTCATCTTCAGCATATGAACTTACATCATCATCAACAATATTTGGTGATTCTTTATCATTAGTTGATATATGTTGTTGAAGTCTTTTAAAATTCAATACATATATATATAAACATATAGGAATTATTTGAAAAACTTACGGAATACGAAAAACACCAATAGTTTGTGGATCATCAATAGCATCATAAAATTCATCATCATCAGATAAATTATTTCCATCATTTGAACCACGTAAATCTGATGATTTTAATGATGTTAATGTTGGATGACCTGCAGTAATATTTTTCTTTTCAATACGTGATGCACGTTGCATTTGTTTTTCTAATTTAACAGTTTGTGATGCCACTTGTTCACACATACGTTCCATACGTAAACGTGCATCACGTTCAAATTGAATTGCTTTTTGCCATTTACGACCTTGGTTTTGTATTAATTGTACAAGTTCTTGACAAGCATTAAGCATAGCTAAAATTAGATAGCATTTTCAATAGTAAAAATATTTTGTCTTAAATTTGATCAATATTGAATACCAAAAAAGAAAGGATGTTTAATATATTAATATGTAACGTATTGACAATAATTGTTATTATTGTCATATTCTATTTCATTTCTGGTCTGTTGATGTTTGTTTACTAATGAGTCATCATTTAGATATATATTCTATACATATAGATATATATATGTATGTATGTGTTTTTTTCCTGTATGTTGTGATCACTCTAATGTCGTATATAACAATATTTCTATTGTAATAATTTTTTTTTTTGTTTTCTTTCTATTCCTGATTTTATTGTATGAGTCATCACGATATATAAGTCAATATTTATATGTGTCGTAGTAGAAATTAAAATTCTATTGAATTTTAATTTCTACTACGATACACATAAATACCTTTTCTTAAAAAGATGATTACTCTTGTTCGTTTCCTTTCATTTCATTTAACTTGTTATTTTGTTTCTGTTCTTCAAGTCAATAACTTATTTTATTGACCTTGACCTTTATTGTATTACGCAATTAATAGTACAATACATCTTCTGACTTTTACGTATGAATCTGAATACATGACATAATACAAAGACAATTTTTTTAATGAGAAGAGTGTCCTGAGATCGCTAGAATTAAGAGAGAGAGAGTAGGGAGCTATGGTGAGTTCGGATCCATAAAAACGTAAACCCATAGCTTTCTATTTGCTTCATCTTGATTATAAAAATATAATCATAACTATTCTCTGTTTATCTATCGAAAAATGATTTTATTTTGGCACTTGAAATTTTGATTTGAGATTTTTTCTTATTTAGCATGTGAAATATTTTTTGTAGAATAGAAAATTTGATGCAAAATAAATATAAGATAGCCCGAGGATCATTTTACCGAGAAAACATTGAATATCGACGGAATTTTTTTTTGAATAAATGAATTGATCTTTTCAGCATTTTTTAAAATGTGTTCACAGTTTCTATTCGACAAAAACTGTATTTTAAATGTCACTGTTAATTTTATTAGGAACTAGTCACTTTTTAAAAAAATTGTTTTAGATACATGTTGTATTTCCGAGTGTACCCTAAAATTGCAGTCATAAATATTGAAAAAGTCTAATGATAAAACTGTAAATGTATCGCATATGTTTTTATGTGACTAAAACTAATATTTTTGATAATACTTATCTCGTTATCATTTCATGTGTAATGTTTAGTTAGCCGTTCAGATAATTTGAAAATAAGAATATATTTGATTTTTTCAAAATTTAAAGTAAATCAGAAATGATAGCGAGATAATTATCACAAGAAAATTTTCATTGAGTCACATAAGAACAGATGAACTCTAGACATAGGACACATTGTCAGAGTTTTCAACAACTTCTAAGAATTTAGAACTGAAACTTTCAGGTCATTATGTCATAAATCTTTGATGCAAATACGACACTAGTGAAAAACTACTACAAAAAAAATTAGCTGTGTCATTGATTTTAGCCAATGGGATACATTGCACTTTGTTTTTCGAAACCTTTGAATTATATTGAGGCTAACGTGACATTTCAAAACACTTTTTATCAATGTTTTTCATATGATTATGAATTAATGAACGTACTTTTCTCAAGGGTGAAAAAAAACGCAGCTCATTTGGTCAAAACATGTCGATAATATTTCAATTTTTTTTTCTAGGGTAAAGTGACTTTTGAGACATCTTATATTGTATAGTAAATAAGCGGAAACAGGAAAATGTTTTCATGTTGTTATCAGTAAAGTGTGTTATTTTTTTTTCTCTCTAATTCAAATGAACAAAAAAACAACATGAAAATAAATATTAAATTTATCCAAAAAAAATAAATCATGTAATTCTGTTTTTCTTTTTTAAATATTTACCTGTTGATGTAATACGAAACAATGTAGCACGTTCATTAACACTTTTAATTATATTTACTGTTGGTTCTGTTTTATCAATTTGTTCAAGATCAGCAAGTGTACGATAAAGTGCTTGATAATGACGATTTATTAAATCCATACACATTTTAAGATCCTCTAATTTAACATCAAATGTTTTATTAATTGTTACTAATTCAGCACGTTCATTTGTATTTATTAATGTTTTAGTATGATCATTTACATTAACTTGCTGTTGTTGTTGTAATTGATTTTGTTGTTGTTGTTGTTGATCATTTGAATCATCAACTGTTGAAATATCTTCATCAGAATCTTGATATTGTTTTCGTCCTTTTAATGCTTTTTGTTTAGCTAATTCTAATGCACTCATCCAACGTTGTTTATCAGTTTCATTTGATGTACGTAAATGTAAAATAGTTGAACCATTTGATATAACAAAATGACATGCATCATTTGATGATAAATGTGCTGATTCAAGATAAACTGTACCACGACATGTATGTGTCATTTCATCTTGTGAACGATAATATGAAAGCATACCAGCTCGTAAAACAAACCAACGTTTTTGATAACCTTTTAAATACTATAACAACAAAAAATATACATATATATATTTGATTTTGTATTCTGAAAAAAAAAAAAATTTTTTTTTTTTACGTTGGTCCATTTATATAACCATCCACGCATATCATCTTTCCCATTTGCAACTGATGGTGTTGTTGATTGCATATTTAATGGTTGTTGAAAATGAACAGGTGGTGGTACAATACCAGTACCAATGGCACCAGCATTTGTTAAATGTGTTAAATTTTGCATCGATGATGAAAGTCCTGTATTTGACATTTTTGAATCGTATGATGACGATACAGTCGGTGGATTATCTATTATTAATAAAAAAAAGAAAAAAAAAATTTTTTTAGATTTTTTTTGTTATTTTAAATTACCAAATCCTCTTTCTGTTAGATTATTTAGTCTAGAATTATCAGTTACTGGAGAAGGAGCAACGAATATAGATGTTAGTGTCGAGATGGTTGGATAAGAACCTCCCGATCTTTTAATACTACCGGCAACATTTAATTGGCTATTGGAAAGAGTGGTTTTGCCGTTTGGATCTGCAAAAATATATCAATATAAAACATGTGTTGAAAAACAAAAAAACGTTATTTTTTCATTTCAGATTCTTTATTATTTTTTTTGTTGTTGTTTTTGGGTTTTGGCAAAGCGATGATACATGCATTCAAGCAGATGCTATGATCATACAATGTTATTACTATTGAGAAGCAATTATTTTGAGCGCGACAAGCTTTTTGCTTGGTTTCTTTCTGTATTATCTGTTCTATTGTTGTTCTTGCTTTTCTCCTGATAATGGTTGTCATCAAATAACTTATGCTTGAATTATTATATAAAAACTACTAGTGATAGAAAATGTCTTTAATAGACAGACGAATATTGATCGAGAGTAGAATACAAGTGAAAAAAATGAACGCGTACATGCATACATAGCAATAATAACAGTAGGAAACTAACTGATAAATAGATAAAGACAATGAAAATAGAGCTATATAAGTAAATTAATTAAAAAAACAACGTAACAAATATTAGTATAATCTTGCAGAATCAAAAAAGATAACATCTAACTGATTTCTGATGATATATATATATATTTTTTTGGAATAACCAAGATAATATTTCAAAATGAATTCAAAAAAAAAAAACCTAAAAGCATGAAAATTTACTTTGACACATATAATGATCAGTAGCAGGCATTGAATGTCGATATCGATGTAATCGAACAAATGGTGGTCGACATTTTGAAACAATTTTGCGCATACGTTGTGGCATTATATTCAAGACGATTATCAACAACGAAAGAATGGAAGAGCAAGTAAAAGGAAAAAACCAGAACAGTCAATAGACAACGAACCACGATGAAAACAAGCAGAATAATGCTGCATATATTACATACAAGTAAGTCGATCGAGATAGCGCAAAAAAGCAATAATAGATAGAAGAAACATTCGAAAAAAAAAAGAGAACATTTTCTTTCTCTTTCTTTCCTTTCTATTTCGATCAAAGCATACCACAAGAGACTTAAAAGGTCACTAATCAATATCAGCTGTACTATATCATAAACGAACACTAAATAAATAGATGCGTATTAATATATTAATGGACGTATTGTGACAAAAATCAGTATGTACCGAAACAAGCTTTACAAGCATTATTTAATAGTTTTCAATAAACAGAGCACAATAGATCCTACCACTATGCATGATCATTGGTGGCACATTAGATGTAGCGTGTTCTTTTGGTCGTGTTGATATATGCATACTATTTTTAATATCGGCTTTCAAATGACGTGCCGCATTTCGAGCACGTTGCGTTGTCATTATTTTTCTTATTTCAAATATCCTAATAAGATTAAATAAGACTACAACGATGAGACCAAAAAAAAGAAAATTAATATAATTTCGATCTAGAATATCTAGTCTATATGAGTATGTGCTATGCCAATCAATTATAAGTAAAGAAAAGACATGAATCAATCATTGTATCTTCTGTTGCAATACACTATTAGAAAAATATTTTCTTGCAAAAGAAAAAAAAAATGTCTGTATTTCATATCCTATAAAAAAAAATGGAAGAGAGAATGTAAAAGAAAGAAAACAATACTCATTTTGTATTCTTTTTTCGCATCATTTTCAATATGTAGTAAGAAAAAAAAACCAATATCATTAATAGGAAGTTTAACTTACCCGTTTTCGCAGAATATTATTAATCTACAAATGAAAAAGAGATGTTCGTTGTTTTAATATTTTTTTTTTTGTCATTTAGTAACAGAATAAAAAAAACATCAGTGATGAATTTTCTTTTAGTTTTTTTTTTTTAATAAACAAATAATAAAAAAAAAGAAAGAAAGAATAATACTATGATATACTACACAGACATTGGTGCCGTTGCAGCTAGTTTTTTTTTATCTAATGGTGATGTAGCTAATTCTTTATCTTCATCGACCATAATCTTTATATCATAGAATAAAATATTACAGATTAAAAAAGAAAACAAAATTTGATTATATTACTCGATCAACACGATGTTTATAGATACGACCATCACCACGAACATAAAATGTTGAAAGACCATCAATATATCTATTTGATAAGAAGAAAAATTTTTTCGATAAGAATTTCTTTGAAGAAATAAAATCAATAAATATTTTTACTCAATATAATCACGTATATTTCCAGCAACATCTTTCGGTTTTCTCCAACCTTTAAGAACACCAACAAATGATTTATTTGATAAACCAGATATACGCCAACGTATTTTAACACAATCTGATTCTTCATCTATTGTTGTTTTAAGTAAATGAATTGTTACATTCATTAATTTAAAATTTAATTTTGTTCGAATCCAAAAAAGAGCTAAAGCATAACTACCAGCACCTCTAAAATACAAATAATAAAAAAGAAAATAAAAATCTATTGTACTCTTCTTTTTATTCTTGACGATAGAAATATGACAGTTTTAGATCAGTTTTAGACAATAAAGATTGACTGTATAGTGGATTGCTTTTATTTTTCTTATCTTTAATGGTTATTAGTATTAAAATACAAATAGAATCAATTAGTTATAATATGAAACTGAAATTTATAAATCGTGATTATTTTTTAGTTGAATCAATAACTAATTTAGTAAAAATATTTCATTGATTAATCACCTATTTAGTCTAAATACTATTCGAACTGTCATACGTCTATCTACAATCACACATACATTGACTAATACCCTTCTTTTTTTTATCTCTGCCTACTTCATAATTTTGGGTGGATCGTCATAATAATTTTCAAAAATAATATCAGCTGTATATATAGCATATGGATGCATTCGTTTACAAAAATCAGGTAACTAAAAATAGAAAAATTATTCAATAAGAAGAGTAAAATATATATATTAATTAAAATAAACATTTACAATTTTTATAAGTTGATCTTCAATATAACGTAAATGTTCAAGTTTTGGTTTATCATTTGGATTTCCTGGTGGAAATTGAAATGGCGTTCGATCATTTTTATTAGACGACGAAACATTTTCATTAGTTGATGGTACATGTAAAGTTATATAACGTTTTTGATAAAATTGGTTTCTAAAAAACTTCATTTCATTTGTTTGTATGGAATTCGATATTAAATTTATATGACCAATTGTTAATATTAATTGATCATTACAACGATGTTCAATGGTTGACAAATGACGACATAATGTATATAGAGGAAATTTGAAATAAGATCTATTTGATGTTAATAATAAAGCAGACATATCTAAGAAAAAAGAAACAAAAAGAAATACGAATATAAATCTTTGATATTCTATGAAATAACATAGAAATTTTTTTTTTTACCAGTTGGAGATTATGCGTGATTAATCTTTCTCTCTAGTTAAGTAGCTAACATATTATTAATCGAAAACGAGCAGGAAGTTGCTTGTTTCCTTTTTTTTACGTATGTTCGAAATATACTTGTCATTGTTGAAAAGGAAATATAATTTTTAGCGCATCTGTCTTCGAACTATAAATTAAGAAAGATTTTTCTCATACAGAGAAAATTCTATATTATACTCTATAGTCTTTTCCAAAAAGACAGATTTTTCTACCAACAATAATTTTTGAAAAGAAAAACATAAAAATTAATCGCATAAAGTAGTTCTTTTTATGCTTATAGAAAGTAAAATCAACGCTATATTTTACAATCTATATATAGATCACTTTAACCTTATTTCCATTGCGTCAAATAAAATTATGATAGCAATCAGGAATATTTTTATATTTATTTTTATTAATATTCATCTCTAAAAAGTCGACATAAGAGAAAAAAAAGTAGAAAAAAATGATTGATTACAATTTTCATATTCGAGTATTGTTCTTTTTCCATTCATCATTACCTTAGACAAAATAATCTCTTATGTATAAAGAAAAACAACTCTAAATAGTTTCCTTTTTAATCCATTTTTATTAGTATTACATGCAAAGTTTCGGAAACCTTCATTAGATTATCAAATAATGTTAGTTTTTCCTATAGAAAAACACACAATGGAACCAAAAACAAAAAGGAAAAGCTTACCAGAATTAAGAACAATGGTTTTAATGGCAGGTTCGCCATACAGCAACTAAATGTATAGAACATCTACTGCTCACGAAGTACACGTTTTTTTCACATATTGCTCAAAAAAAAAACAGTGTACACAGTACATTTCACTAAGTAAAGTAACATTTTGTTTGCACAATGGTTAAATGAATTTTTAAGTGGAAAAGTAATAAATGTAACTCATTCTCTTATTTTAGAACACTTGACTTTCTTTTTTTTTCTCTATTCTGCAATCTCTCTCATTGATTACATAAAGAAAAAAAAACAATACAATGTTTTTCTCTTATCATCGTTGTTATTATAAATAGGTGTTACTCATCGAACGAAATGAGTAGAATATTTCTTCCAATGGTTTTTTTAAAATATATGATATAGAACAACCTCATTATTGTACACCTTGCTAGTATACATAGAATGCACTGTGATATATTGTTTGCAATTTCATTGAAATACGTTGATTACGAAGGAGGTAGTTATAACTATGAATTCGTTAATGATCGAGCATTTATTAATTATAATTCAGGTCAGTTTAAACTTTGGAAAGTTTTTGTCGCTGATATTTGTATTCTACAAAAATTGTTTTTTTTTTTTCCTTAGCGATATTCTTTCTGTCACTTACATAATTGAATCACTAAATTTTCCTTTTTTTGTACGTAAATATTTTAATAACTAATGTCTATTGAATCTAAAATAGAATATAATATAAATATTCTTTTTTTAACTAACTAAATTTCTATAATTATTAAAAAAAAAAATTCAACAGAATACAACGAAACTCTAAAAATTCAATATTAATTCATTAATTTATTATTTTATTAAAAAAAATTTATCCGATTAAATTCATAGATATGATAACATTTTTTTTAAAATTCTAAATATTTACATATAATTAATTAAACGCAATTTATGTTGCTTGACAAATGTGTTGTTATTATATTTGAAGAAGAAAAAGAAATTCGAACAACATAATCTCTCTTATTCAACCAATCTTCTTTTCATATTAGTGACATCTATTCAAAAGAAAACATATCTTAATAAATTTTTCAAAAGAAAAAAAAATAAAAGATAAAATTGTTTCGAAATTTAAATAAAATCATTTATTAAATCAAATCAAATTTATTTCTTATTGGTTCCTATATCAAACAACAACATAACAAAAACAAAAAAAAAAAAAAAAGAGAATTGTTTATTATTAGTAATTCTTTTGTTAATCATACAAATCAAGAAAAAAAAAATGGCTTCATCAAATGATCAAACAAAATCTACATCAACACGTTCATATCAATTACCATTAACCAAAGTTAAATCAATAATTAAACTTGATAATAATACACGTATGATAAGTCAAGATAGTGTTTATATATTAACATTAGCAACAGAAGAATTTATTCGTATGTTAACACGAGATGCTCATAATTCAATGAAACAATGTGCATCAAAACGATTAGATCGTTTACATATATTTAGTTCAATAAATACAAATTCAATATATGAATTTCTTGATGGTTCATTTGATTAAAACTTTTTTTTCTTTTGTCTTATAGAACACAAAAAAAAAAGAAAAAGAAAATTCTTGTCAGATATTGAAAAGTAAAAATGTTTATATTTGTAGATTTTGAATGAAACAGTCATCAATAACAAGTAGTCCACCACCATTACCATTACGACCATCAACACCTATATTAACACATATTGATA